TTCGCATTTGCATCGCAAATGCGATCACACAAGAACCAGCAATCCAACTTCTTCACAAAACACTCTGAAGCTACTCCGAAACTCACCCGAGCCCCCGGGGCTCCAAACCAAACACCCACACAACTCTAAAAATATAACACGAACTTGCTCGAGGCCTTAAGCCACATCAAACAACATCGAATTCATGAATCGCACCCCAATTAAAGCTTAATGAACTTTAGAACTTCAAACTTCTACATTCGATGCCGAAACCTATCAAATCACGTCCGATTGACCTCAAAATTTGTACACAAGTCACATTCGACATTACGGACCTACTCCAACTTCCAAAATCGGTATCCGACCCCTATATCAAAAGGTCCACTTCCGGTCAAACTTCTCAAAAACCTTCAAATTTCTAACTTTTGCCAAACAACTCCAAAATGACCTACGGATTTCCAAATCCACATTCGGACGCGCTCCCAATACCAGGATCACCATACGGAGCTATTCCCAGACTCGTAATCCCAAACAGACATCGATAACATTGAAATGCACTTCAACCCAAATTTATGAATTTCTTCCAAAATGCCAACTTCCACAATAGGCGGCGAAATGCTCTCGGGTCATCCAAAACTCGATCCGGACATATGCCCAAGTCCAAAATCATCATACGAACCTGTTGGAACAGTCAAATCCCAAATCCGGGGTCGTTTACTCAAAATCACACCTTAGTAAATTCTTCTAACTTAAAGCTTCCGAAATGAGAATTTTCTTTCCAAATCAACTCTGAACTACCCGAAATTCAATTCTGACCACACGTACAAGTCATAATATCCTAAGTGAAGCTACTCATGGTCTCCAACCGCTGAACGAAGTACTAGAGCTCAAAATGACCGGTCGGGTTGTTACAGCTGCTGTCCTTCTTTCATAGAACCAGATTTGCAATTTTTCTTTTATGAAATCCATCATTGTTAAAAGTGACAATTCTCTTGCACGTCTCAAAACATTATTCATTGACTCAAGAATATTTGTTGTTAGCATATAATATCGTCATCTTGGACAATGTGAATGAGCCCATCTTCCTGGTGGTTCCTCCATTAAGTAGTCGAATGTTTTCTTATCAACAACAGCTATTTGGGACATAAAGTCATCAAATTCTGATTGATTGTATACTCTTGTAGCACTTTGAAATAGGTTTATTGTAGTGTTTCTTACTCTTCTTTGCTTTAGATTCTTCTCTAAATGATATATGCAAATACCATGGTAGCACTCAGGGAAAACTTTTGCAATTGCCTTGTGTCGATCTAATAAGAACATTAAATCTTTACGAATGCCAATTGCTTTTCTTAATTCTCTGAAGTACCATTAGTACAACTCGTTATTCTCTGAATCCACTACCCAAAATGCTATAGGAAAAATCTAGTTATTTGCATCCTTTGTAACTGCCACTAATAGAACCCTCTATATTTATTTTTTAGAAATGTTCCATCAACAGCAATAAGTGGTCTACAATACTTCCACCCAGAAATTGACTCCCCATACATAAAAAAAAAAATATGTAAAGAAACAGGTTACATTGAAAAGTAAATAGAATTTAGTTTTGTGGTATGACAAGCTGCATACTAATGGATATTAGTATATGTGTGTTTCTGCTATGAATTAAAGATACTAGCAGAATAATAGGCTTGAGATTTTTTATATTTTGCATATGAAACCAGTATATTATACTGGTAATTTTGAAATTTTTAATACTACAGAATCTATATTTTTCATATCAACATGCAGTATTATATTTAATATTAATGTAGAGTTTGTTGTGTCATTTGCAGTATTCACTAATGAGCTGGAAAATAATGATGACAAAAAATAAAAGAAATACTAAAATTTTATAAGTTTTGTTTTTACCTGTTTTCTGCATCTCTCTTAATATTAGTATATGATCCTAGGTTTTTTTGTTCCATCATGTACAAATATGAAGGCAGCTGCTCATAATTTTCTTCTGTTGTTCCTCGTAATAAAGATATCCCTTTTTGAATAGCACGGCGTGCTTTTCCATAGCCAACATCTATTCCATGTGCTCTTTTCATTTCTGAAATGACAAACTTAGGCTTTGCTTCAGTAGTTATGTCTCTTAAGTTGTCAATCATGTAACCTCTTATCACATTTGAAGTCGCTTGTCTTTGATGTGACTTTCTAATGTCAACCGAGCATTCATGTTTTCTCTGAAATTTAACTATTTTAAAAAGTATTGATTCCTTAATTCTTGAACCTCGAACAGTCCAACCACACTTTTCATCACTACATATCAAAGAGTATCTTGTATTACTTGATCTTTCAACATAGAACTCAAAGTGCTCCTTGATTGTTGCTAAGCAAAAATATCTAATCATAGCATTTTTATCTTGAAAAACATTCCCCAATTTTGCATCATCCAATGATGCATTTTCCTTTAGTATTATTGATGGGGATTCTTTTGCCTTTCCTTTTGCTTTCCTTTTTTTCCCTTCAATTGTTTGCAGTGTTTCAAAGTGTTGATCTTTCATAGGAATTACACTCTCATTTTTCATTGTAATTTCGAAAATCGGCATCTATTGCTCTTCTGGTATTTCAGAAATCAGCATGTCTTGCTCTTCTGGAACATATGTCGTTCCCTTCAATAATTGTTGATTGTCAATCTCCATTATTGCATTACCTTCTTGTTGTTGATCTCCAGTAAAAAATTTAGAAAGTATTTTTGATATTTCAACAACAATTTTGCAGCCTTTGTAGTATGGATCGTTTCTTAAAAGCATCATACAGGAAGTAAGTTCTTCATCTTTTGTTACATGTATTCCCTTGTCGGTGCCTAGGTTGATATTAAGCCATACTGTTGCTTCAAACTTGTTCCTGTCGAACTCTATAACTTCAAAAATCTTATTAATGAATTCGTCAAATGAAGTCCCATCATTTATAAGGAGAAGCTTCGTTTTTTGATCTAAATACTTGTAATTTGGTGTCCATTTTTCATCGAAAGCAATAATCAAGAAATTTGTATGCATCCTGCATTTAATGTACACAAATAATTAGATATTAATATCCTACATTTTATTCAGGAAACAGAGAAAAGATTAGCCATTCACTTTTTTGTTTTTTGTATGATGAATCAGAGAAATTTACAGTATTATATGCTAGAGAACATTAGAGTAATAGTAGACATTTAGATGTTTTCTTCTGGTTTGAATCACAAATATTTCCTGTATAAAATGTTGGATGGTTGTGAAATTTACATATCAATTCAAAAGGGTTCAGCATATTATGTTGGTGTTTTGTTTTGCACTATTTTATGCAGCATTTTTTATGGTTTTGAATCAAAGATACCTCCAGTACTATATGCTAAGAGTTTGTAGTTTTGACATATCTAATCACAAAAGTCCAGCATTTTATTTAGGGTATTACAAACTTATATGTGTTCTTCTGTTTTAAATGACAGATACTTCCAGTATAATATGTTAGAATTTTATGAGTTTTACATATCAATTCAGAAAGGTCTAGCATATTATACTGGTGTTTTGTTCTGCACCATTTTATACAGAATTTTTTCTGGTTGTGAATTAAAGATACCTCCAGTACTATATGCTGCAGAGTTTGTAGTTTTCACATATGTAATCATAAAAGTTTAGTATTTTATTCAGGACATTAGGAGAACCTTAAAAACTTAGATGTGTTCTTCTGGTTTGAATCACAGATACTTTCAGTATAATCTACTGGAAGTTTCTGAGTTTTACATATTAATTAAGAAAGGTCCAGCATTATATACTGGTGTTGTGTTCTATACCATTTTATGCATAATTTTTTCTAGTTTGAATCAAAGATACCTCCAATACTATATGCTGGAGAGTCTGTAGTTTTGACATATCTAACGACAAAATTTCAGCTTTTTATTCAGGATAGTAGGTGAATCTTAAACAACAACAACAATAACAACCCAGTATAATCCCACTAGTGGGGTCTGGGGAGGGTAGTGTGTACGCAGACCTTACCCTTACCCTGGGGTAGAGAGGCTGTTTCCGATAGACCCTCGGCTCCCTCCCTCCAAGAACTTCCCACCTTGTTCTTGGGGTGACTCGAACTCTCAACCTTAAACATTTAGATATATTCTTGATGTTTGAATCATACATACTCTCCGTATAATATTCTAGAAGTTTGTAAGTTTTATATATCAATTTAGAAAGGTCCATCATATTATACTGGATGTTTTGTTTTGCAATTAATTCATTTTTCATCACTTTAACTATGAGTTTTTTAATGAACTAGACATTTTCGGTGTTTAGTGGCAGCATAAAATACTGAAAATTAAATTACATTTATATATTATACAATCAAGCACAGAATAAACGTTTTTCATATAAAATTTATAATAATATATAACAATGCAAATATTATTAGTTACGATCTGAATTACAAACGAGAAGAATCGTAGATTAACGCATTGAGAAGAATAAGAAGATTAAACCAGAAAATTCGAAGAATCAGAAGAATAATTGTGAGAGCTTATTTCAATCTGTAGATTGGCGCTGCAAGATTCTGCTGAAACAGAGTATGGGGTCATGTCGCGTAAATTTTATAAATAGAGTAGGGGTATTTTTGTCAACAAATTATTCCCATGCTAATTTAGTGGCTAAATATAGTTTACTTTTGATTATGTGGCTAAATTTGATTGTCCGGGCGTAAAAATGGCTAGTTATAAATTTTTCGCCTACAATTTACATATCTATTCTAGTGTTAAATTTGCACATCAAATCAGATGGCAGTTGATGAATTTTGTATAGGGTAGTAAACTTTAGAAAAAGGCTAATCATCATTATCATATGGAAATTGAGTTTTGTACTACCGAATTATCTTTAGCTAAGACTTACAAATATGTTCTTTCATCATTTTAAATGTGAGAATATTATTAGTCCTGCTTGGCTCCGACCATGACCAGACGACCCTTCAATTAGCAAAATGCGACAAACATGTTAAAATGGAAGAGGCAAAAGTAACTAAAGTGCTGGAGGATATAGTAAAAGAATTAGTAAAGCTGGATTTTACACAAATATTGCTCGCGAGAATTTGGTATAAACATCTTCCGGTAATTTAAACAGAATTACAAATTAGAAAAACATTCTGCACTAAAGCTAGAAAGCTAACATTGCAAAGGAGGTAGCACAATATTTCCACCACAATAGCCGTGATCCAAGAACCAGGCAAACTTTAGTTATAGTATTTCCACCAGCACATTTCTCAGGCATGGGATAATTGAATTCTTCAATAAATGGCTGCAAGAAGAATAGTTATAGTATGGGAAAGCATAACAAAAGTAGTAGAACACAGGCTACAAGTATCTACTGGAAACAGTAAATCTTACAGGGATAATGCCCAGACAAGGACCACCAGTCACTCCCCAGAACCCAGCTCGAAAATCATACCTGGTATAGGAAATTAAGGCAAGAAAGCAATATACTGATAAATGTGATTTTAGGACAAAGAAAATGTGGTACAGGACCAGGTAAAGTGAATCTTTGCAGTTGAATAAATGTGGACTAATTGACATAACTGAACCATAAAAAATAGGAATCTTACAAATTTAAGTATAAAAACTACCCATCATGTACACTTTCAAATAATCAATACTGCATTAGAGCTCTTTCTCAGATATTCAGTATCTTCTTCTCAGTATCTCAGTAAATAACAGTGCTATATGCATGTTGAAATATTGCTTCCAAGAGGTTCCATGCTTGCCCATTGTAACCTTGCAACTTCTGTATGATCATACTTATTGGTGGATTTTATGTCGCAAATCCGTTAATGAAATTCTACAAAGTTAATAGATTAAATACGAAAAGCATAATCACGTTTGAATATTTCACCTAGCAAACAAGAATTATATAGAGCTTTATTTTACACCTGCACCCAAAATATAAAACAAATAAACAAACAGATATATAAAATAGTCACTTATGTTATTTTTGGCCTCCTACGATACACATCAGCAACAAGATCAAAGTCAAAGAGCAAAAGATATCAGGTTTAAACTCAAAGAATGAACAGGTTGAAATGATTGAATGTCCCAATACTTACCAGTAATGTCCAGGTTGTATTCGTCCAGCACGCTTTTCTGCCTTTTTAATCAGCCTATCTGGTATAAGATGCCCGTTAACTGTAGTATTGGCTTTTTCCTCCTCCGCAGAATGATCGGATTGGCTGAATTCTTTAAAGCTCTTCTTTATGATGCCAGAGAAAAATGATTCTTTAGTGGCTTTCAGTTGGCCTCCTTCTTTACTAGATCCACCAGACTCTAAAGACGAGCCAGTGTTACCTAAGCTAGATATCAAGTTTAATGAGTAGGATAGGTTACTTAAACCAACCAAGAGACATTTTCAGAAATGCATTTTCCTAATCGAACAAGCCTAGTGTGAGCATGAACATCCAAACCACCAGTGATGACAGCCTTTAGAAAATTCATTTAAAGCACTATAAATATCTATATCTACACCAAAGTAACTTCTGAAAGCCTACCCAAGTAACTATAAAAATTGTTACTAAATAAGGAGGCAATAATATCAAACTGTGAAGATATATATGTAGTCACTACCTGCAGTTGACGTGCTGACCTCACTAACAACGTTCAGAGTGTTGAATATGGCTTCCCTTTAAGTTCTGTCATCAGTCAACTCTTTCACTTTTGGGGGAATCCTAGAAATGGACCGCAAAAATTTTCGCCAATTCTTCAATGTTCTGTTATATTTTGTTTTTTACATTTACACATATAGTCCGTGTTGTCAAAAGCCCATTTGAGGCACACTTAAGCCCTGAAGCTCAGAGAAGTTCAGGGCAGGCGCTTCACCTCACTTAGGCTGCGCTTTAGTGTAGACAAGACACTAAGGCGTGCACATCATTGCCCATAAGTTCTATCTTGAATAGAGCGATACTAAGCAATAAATATGATTGTCAAAAGATATATTAATTATTAACGAAATCATTATGAATGAAGTTGTTATTTTTTCCTTGTATTACAAATATGTTTTTATTTTTTTTCTTTGTTGCGCTTTTTTAACTAATGCCCACAATTTAATTGCGCTTTGCGCTTAAAGCCCCAATAGACTTGGAGCTCTTTTTAACACTTTTCGCCTTTGACAACACTACATATAGTTGGCTATGGAAGAAAATGATCCATATGTCAGCAATCTTTTTGCTGATGTTTAACAATCTCTCAAGAGCAGAAAAATAGAGGAGTCATATCATGAGCCAACTAGTTAGGGATTAAGACTTAGTTAATTGTATTGATTGTACATTCAGTTAATGATTATTCATGCAATTTGTAGGTGCACTTGACAATCTTAGAATTGCAATACCAGATTTTCCATTCCGCTTCTTGAGAAGTGCATTCTTAGTTAAAATAGCAAAGCGAACATAAGCTCGCACTTAATGTAAAGATGAAGGACATGATTAGCAGAGATGTTTCTGATAATACCTAGATGGTGTGATTCAAGCGACAGTCATGATAGTTAAATAATCTGGAACAAATTCAGACAGCAGACATGATGCTAAAGCCAAAAGGCCTATATGCTTAGCTCCTTTAGCTCACTTCCAGGGTTAACAAAAAAGCAAAGTGGTAAGAGGCTAAGAGCAGCAAGAACTGAATATGAATGAACTTATAAACGACAAAAACTATGTGACCAGGGGTTGAACTCATTGATGGGCTCAAAGTTAAACATTTGAGATTTTCCATTTTCTCTGTTTCTTTTTTTTTTTTTTTTTT